GTTTTGAAAACCAGAGGGAACCATATTACTCCTACAGCCTACTGATAAATTATATATAGCAGATCAAGAAATATATGTCTAAATAAGGTTTATCTGAGAACAACTGGTCTTTGCCCAAGATTTATCTACATGACACACAGTAATTAAAAATACCAGACTGGTGGAAATAACCTCCTTGGGTGTTTAACAGACATACTTTGAGGCCTATAATAATTTGGTCAGAGGGACATAAAGAACACTTTTTGCTCCTTGCCTTCCTAGGTCGACTACCTCCAGGTGACTATGAGCATCTCTCAAAATGTCCTGTAATGGTGGTGGGTCACCTGTCCTCTTAATCAAGGAGGCCGAGGAGACCCCACCAGATGGACTTGAACCAGTGTCCAGTCTATAAAGAGGGTCAACACAGAGGAATCATTTCCTCCATGCTTCCAAGCGAAGCCAACCATGGTCAAGCAGGACCTTTGACTTATCCTCTTCACATAGGCAGAACTGGTAAAAGAAAGGAACCAAGGGCTCCTCCCAAGCCCATGTGAGGAACAGATTCTCAAACAACCTTAAGAGTAAAAATAAATTGGTTTATCTGGGCCAACTGTATGGCCTTAAACACCCAAAAGAAAGTATAACCAAAGATTAAAGGGGCCAATATAATTTCATCAGAGTCCATATGTACAGCTAAAGGCTATATAACAAGCAACAATGCCAGACAGGCAATACCTTCTTTTGAGTTGTTGGCCAGGGTGGCCAAAGGGATTCCCAGATAGTAACCCAGCATAGAACTGGGAAAATGAACAGCAGACCCCAATCTTATCCAAAGGAATATTGACAACTGATTACCGCTAGATGAGGAACAGCTGACCCTCCTAAACAAAGACCTCTAGATAGGCTGACTAGATTTACCAGAAGGGCAAGTAGTGGGGAATGGCTGGGGGTGCCAACAACACAGCAGACAGTAGCAGGGATATAAGAGTATAAGGGCTCTAGTGGGGGGAGGGAGGCTATGGGAGGGTGCTATCTGGGAAGTGGGTGTAAAAATAAATAAATAAATAAATAAATAAATAAATAAATAAATGTGCTATAGATCTTAATAGAAATCTTAAAGAAGATACATGGACAGATGGGTTATATGCATATGAAAAGATACCCCACATCATATGACATGAAGGAAATGCAAATTAAAGTAGCAAAAATGGCACTATATTTCAATTAAAATAACCAAAATCCAGAACATAGATACCACAAAGTGCTGACCATGACAGAAAGCAACAAGGACTTTCATTCATTGTTGTGGGAATGCAAAATGGTTGGATCATGCTGGAGAATTTGGCTGTTTCTTATAAAATTAAACACCCATTATATGGAAAAAAAAAAAAAAAGAGAGAGAGAGAAATGAACTCCTCATCATGGAAGCCATACAGCGACTCCATGTTCTTCAGCTTCAGGGCATAGTCAAGGTCACTTGTGAGCTTCTTTGCTTCCCCATGTGCATGAACTTCAAAGCATCCTGTGCAATCTCCTTGATGCAGTAGCTGACTTCATCTGTCAGCAGTTGGCAGGTTTCTTCTTGACAGAATGCCAGCCTTTAGTGTTTGACACGTTTCTCCAGCCTATGAACAAGTCCTACACCCCTAAGAGTTTAAGTTTTATTTACTTGGCCAGCTTTGCCCTGGAATCTGTCAATTTACAATGCTTTGTTTACCCTTGACTATGTCAAGGTAGAGGAAACAGGACGTACACAACCAGCTCTCACCTTTCCAATATCTCTTTACTTGGTGTCTTTTGCTGGAAGCCTTTCCCCACCCTCACTGCCAATGAATACCCCCTAGTCTCATGATAAGGAGTCATATAATGCTTAATCATCTTAACTTGATGAATTTAGAATCCCCATGTAAACATACCTGGAGGTGTTTCCAAAACAGTAGGAAGATGGCCTGCTCCAAATGTGGGTGGACCATCTTTGTTAAGGAGTTTGGGATCCCCGGAAAAAGACCACTCAGACTGAAAATTCCCGAATCAGCCAAATTTATTTAGCTGGCCAATGACCACATTCTCTGAGCCAGTTTAGAGGATGTAGCACTTGCTCAGAGGAAAGTAAAGCTTTTATTTATTTTATTTTTTTAAAAGCTGAGGGAGTCAGGGTTTTTTAAATTTTATGTGTATACATGTATTGCCTGCATATAGGTAAGTACACCCATGCCATGCAGTGCCCAAGGACAGAAGAGGCTATCGGATCCCCTGGAACTGGAGTTACAGACAGTTGTTAGCTACCATGTAGGTGCTGGGATGCGAACCCATGTCTTCTGCAAGAACAGTCAGTGTTCTTAACTGCTGAGCCATCTCTCCAGCCCCAGGAAAGTAAAGTAAAGTAAATATAAAGTCCATATTGTGACCAGTTGGTACAAGACTTACTCAAAGAGAAGCATTCACATGTTTGTTCCTGTAGACGGGCAAGGAGAAACCACAGCATCAAAGGCAGAACCAAATCTCTTACTAACTCAAGGTACTAGGTCAAGTCTAAGGCCAAAATGGCAGCCTGTTTGTGATGTGAGTAGAGTGGATGCTTGAGTCTCAATTTTATTTATCATCTCAGGAAAGGCACCTGATTGAAGGGCACCACCCCGTTCCTGGACTTGCCTGTGAGTCCCCTAATAATGCCACAAAGGAATGGCCAACACCCATTTCCTTCTCCTCATCCCCTCTGCTGTTGTCTTTCTTCAGTCCTTCCTCAACCCTCTTGGACTTTTGTGGGATTCCTGACTGTTCTCCATGCTAATGTCTGTAGCTGCCACAGTTATCTTTCTTAACATTTTTTACCCCAGAAAAAAACAAAACAAAACAGGCCTCAGCATGTCGAGCAAGGAGAGACCTGTTATGCCATGATACAGTTTTCCTCCTTACTGAGTAGGACCTATTGAACAAGTTTTCAAGGTAGTCTTATTCACGTCTTAAAAAGATAATAAGCAGCAAGGTAGAGACTCAAATTAGCAGGCCTGTAATAAGAGATGGCTAAGAGTGTGGTAACACTCCTGACAGAGGGGGCAGGCCTGAACCAAGCCAGCTGTAGAGAAAGAGGACACCCAGTAAGGAGATATAAACATTATAAATGAAATCCTCCAAATGAGGCGAGTGACTCTCCAGTAAACAAGTAGATGAGGATATGACCCAAGTTTTCAACTTGAGCAGACAGAGTTCTTATTCAGTGGGACAGACATACCAGAAGAACAGGTTTAGGAGTAATCAGAAACTTGCAAGGAGGATAGTCAATGTGAACTAACAAGCCGGGAGCTCAGGAGTGAGGTCTAGACTAAACTGAAACCCAGAAGTAGAACAGATGTGTAATGGATAGTCACCAGACAGCATCTGGAGGAATTGAGGAAGATCACAAGGTTTGGAAAGTCACAAATAACCTTCACATCTCAACAAATCAAAGAATGAAAGACTATATTGTATAGTTTGCCAGTTATTTGGTAAGGGTCACACTGAAGCATGCTCTCCACTGGAAAGGTGGGATACCACATGCAGATCTCCAGGGGAGGGGAGACAGATTCCATAAAAACAATAATTGGTAATCCTGATTTTCTTTAAAAAAAACATTATTATATTTATTTTGTGTATGAGTGTATTGCCTGCATGTGTGTAAGTGTACCTGTATCATGCAATGCCCAAGAAGGCCAAAGAGGGTGTCAGAGCTCCTGGAACTAGACTTACAAATGGTTGATAGCTGCCATGTGGGTGCTGGGAACCAAACCCAGATCCTCTACAAGAGCAGCCAGTGCTCTTAACTGCTAAGCCATCTCTCCAGTCCCTAAACCTGATTTTTCTAACCACCTAGAGAAAAAAAGTCACTTTTGGTATTTCCAGGACTAAGAGCCAAGCTGTGGTGAGGAGCTACGGTGACCTCAAGGGTTGGCAGCAGTTAGAGTGAAAAGGATGCACTCAGCATTCTGGTTGGAGTTTACCAAGTGCTTTTACCAAAAATTAAAAAATTTAGAGATGACTACACCCTTAGGTGACAATTTCCGCTTTAGCAGAACCTTCAAATTAAGACATCTATAACAATAGAAATGTTACTACAATACCTACATTATAGGATGTGTATCAGACAGAATATGGATCATTGGAAAAACAATGGAATAAAGAGTGCTATGTGGTCTGTTCTGAGAGTGGGGAGAAGGAAATCCATGATAAACCAAGAAAGGTTTATCCAGTGCCCTGCTAAGGAAGCACTTGCACTCCCAGTCTGTTAAATGGATACCTAAAGACTTTATAAAAATTTAAGATAAGTTACACTATTCTTTAAAAATCATCTTCAAAAGTAACAAAGGTTTCAGCACCTTCCCTCCTCCCCATAAAGGTCAACAAAAAATATAAAGTGCCAATGTTCAAAGTACTTGTCATTGTTTAAGAAGCACTAATACATTTGATGGCCTAGGATTAAATATGAAAATAGGCCAGATCTGATCTGAATAACAGAAGGTAGGTATTCCTGTCTGGATGGGGGCTGGACCAGAAAACTACCCACTCCCCCATTTATTGCTTTGAAACAGGTGCATATACTTGAATCCTAACAATCTGAGTTCTAAGACGGAAAACACAGTGTCTGTGCCACTTTGTTTTTTGGGTTTTTTTTTTTTTCGGTCTTTTTGAGACAGGGTTTCCCTGTAGCCCCAGCTGGCCTGGAACTCACTATGTAGACTAGGCTGGCCTTGAACTCACAGAGATCCACCTGCCTCTGCCTCCCAAGTGCTGGAAAGGAGTGCGCCACCATGCCTCACAACTTTGAAGTCAAAGAAGAAGGTGCCCTTTTGATCACTGGGAGGGGAACTGCTGAGACTCTCCTCTCCACAGCTCATGTCTTCACAAGAGTCCTCACTGAAGGGAAAGAGACAAAGAGGGCCATTTCTTAAAATGCAGATGCTTACAGGTAAGATAAAACTGAGTCTGCTGCAGTCTATATGAATGTTGTATTCAAGAGTTCATCTTTACATACAGAATTGAATTTAACTTATAACGACTATTCTCACTAGAAAATACAATTTTTTTTTTCTCTTAAGAATACTTTTCTAGGAGCCAGGTATGGTAGAGTATACACTTTTAATCCCAGCACTTGGGAGGTAGAGACAGGCAGGTTCCTATAAGATCAAAGCCAGTCAGGTCTCTATAATGAATTCCAGGCCAGCTGTGACTATAGGGAGATCCCACCTCAAAAAGTCTGAAACAAAAAAAAGTTCTCTTGGGGCTAGAAAGATGGCTCAGTGGCAGCACACAACCATCTCTAACTCCAGTTCCAGGGGATCTGATTCTCTTCTTTTGGCCTCCATGGGTACCAGGCATGCACAAGGTGTACATATACACATACAGGCTAACAGTCATACACATACACATTTTAAAATGCTAAAAACAATGTTTTCTTAAGAGAGTTAAACAAATTCTATCTGCCCATCTATTATGCTTGTACCAGTTCACTCTAGAAGGAAGTTAACTGCAGAATTCTAAGTATTTTCAATACAATTGTTAAGCTGTGGTTTAAGTGTCTTCCTTATATCAATGACTGTGCCACTGGCTCTCTCAAACACCAGAGCAAGAACAAGCACTGAAAACTGGAACTTCTAGGCCTTAGCTGTATAGCACAAAACAATCACATTGAGTAAAATGCACCTTACAAGCAAAACTAACTCTGAATAAGACACTGATGTTTGGCAAAGCTGTAAGTTCATCAGTGAGTCAGCCCTATTAGTGGGGATGGCTCCTTTATCTTCCACTCACCTACCCCTCACTCTCTTGTCAAGAACACAGTAACATGCAAGCCTTAAGAAGTCTGGAGGGAGCACTGTTTCAGATTTCTTTGTAATATCTGAACTCTTGGTGGTCCCATTCCCTCCACAGGACCCTGATCTATAGGAGTGGACATAGCAAGCTGAGCACAGCAGCATGCATGCCTTTCTTGTGGTCTTCTTGTGACTGTGGATATGACGTGACTAAATCTCAAGCTCATGCTGCTGAGACTTCCCTGTCATTATGAGTAAACATTTTCCCCTAAAAAAAAAAAAAAAAATTGAACTATATTTCCAAGAGTAAGGAAAAGGAGAGAAATTTTTAAAACACTTTAAAAATTATTTTAAAAAATGTTTATTTTCATGAAACTACTGGCTAATTTTATGACTTGAAAAAACAAATGGTATTTGAGAAGAAACTTTCTTTTAGATCATTCTGCCATTTCTTATTTTGTTTTGAGACAGTATCTCAAGCATAGCAGGTTGGCATTGAACTCAATACAAAGTAAAGGATGACCTTGAACTTCTGACCCTCCTCCCTCCACTTCCTATGCCGGGATTACAGGTGTGTGTCACCATACGGTTTATGTGGTGCTCGGCCAAACTCAAGGCTTCATGCATGCTTGAGCTTCATCCTCAGCTCAAGTTCTTCATTACAAGTTTTTAAAATTATATTTATTTAATGAGTGTGTAAGTCACAGCCAATGTGGAGGTCAGAAGAAAACTGGGGGGGGGGGGGCAGACAGAGGGCTCAGCAGGTAGGGCACTTGCCAACAAAGATGAGTTTGATTCCCAGAACCCACGTAGAAGGAAAGAACCGACCATCCCCCCCCCCCCAGTTCTTTTTTCTTTGTTTTGGTTAGGATTTTTGAGACAGTCTCACTATGCAGTTATGGCAGGTCTAGAACTGGCTATATAGACCAGGCTGGCCTCAAACTCAGATATCATCTGCCTCTGCCTCCTGACTGCTAGGACTATAGGCATGTACTATCAACAACACGCATGTTACACAGTGCTTTCTATATATAATATGTATTATTATTATATTTATTATTATTATTTTTGGTTTATGTGTATGAGTGTATTATTTTTGGTTTATGTGTGAGTGTATTGCCTGCATGTATGTGAATGCACCTGTGTTGTGCAATGCCTGCAGAGGTCAGAGGACCTTGGAACTGGAGTTAGGAACAGTTAACTGCCAGGTGGGTGCTGGGAATCAAACCCAGGTCCTCTGCAAGAGCAGCCAATGCTCTTAACCACTGACACATTTAACCAGCCCTTCCACAGTTCTTTTTTAAGAATAAAAATCAGTATATTTAGTTAGGAAGATACCTGTTTAAACCCCCTGGGATCTTAGCTGCTCAGGAAAATTGTAATGACTATGGTTTTGGGTTGTATTGAAACAATCCAAACCAGCTTTTTTTTTTTTTTTTTTTTTTGAGACAGGGTCTCCCTGTAGCCTCAGCTGGCCTGGAACTTACTATGTAGACCAGGCTGGCCTTGAACTCACAGAGATCCATCAGCCTCTGCCTCCCGAGTGCTGGGATTAAAGGCGTGCACCATGCCTGGCTCAAACCAGCTTCTTCGGATCTGGTTTGCAACATTTAAGGAGACTATTTGACTCATTTAGGAAACCAATTCCAGTAATAGAATTCAGTCTCATGCATCTGGGGATAAAAATAAATGAAGACCTCATAGCAATTATTCTTGAACAAATGCCAAACTCCTTAAAGCTCCAACTGACCTTTCTAAAGCAGGTTTCTTAATGACTTCAACTACTACTGCTTGAGAAATTCCAAATCTCAATCATGGCTGAGATCTTCACCCATCTCTAACCATGGTTTATCAAGGGACTTTCTATTTCAGACTGCCAACATGTGCAAGACCCCTACCTACCTGGCATACAAGCACCTAATATCATACTACTTTCATCACAAATCAACTTCTCCCAAGTTCCTTTCAAATGATGCCAATATTCTCTCCATCATTAGATCCATCTTGGTTATTCATGAGTCCCTGACTCAGCACCATGCTTGGCTCCTCAGAACTGTTTGAGCTACAAAAATTATACCTGACTGTGACTGCAGCACAGTCTTATCTGCAAGCCCACCCTAACATGACTTCCGCAACCCACCTAGCTTACAAGCTGCTTAGCCATAAACCTCTGCTGTGCAAACCTTCCTTCTTGCAGATCCTGTAGTCAGGTTCCTCATCACAGCTCTTCTACTGCTGTGCCCTACTTCTTTCCTAACAACCCCAAAGTACTTCTTATATTCACTATTATCTAAGTGAGACAAAAACAATGAACAGATCATGTTAAATTTCACATTTCCTTAACTAGACTACTAGTTTAAGAAAAAGCATTGTACTTTGTTTTGTCCCTGACTCAGCACCATGCTTGACTCCTCAGAATGACTGTTGGACTTGCAAACCTTACACCTGACTATGACTGCAGCCTAGACATTCCATCTGCAAGCCCATCGTAAGATGACTTCCTCAACCCACCTAGTCTTCTTAGGCATAAGCCTCTGCTGTCCAAACCTTCACTCTTGCAGATCCTGTAGGTCCAGCCAGGCTCACAGCTCCTCTCCTGCTATGCCTAAAAACCCCAAAGCACTTCTTATATTCACTGTTATCTAAAAGTAAGATGAAAATAATGAAACAGATCAAGCTAAATTTTGCATTTCCTTAATTAGACTACTAGTTTATGAAAAACCATTGTGCTGCAAAGCTGCACTGGGCTGGCTCACCTAAGGGGCTTAAAAAGAAACATCACTGACTTTTTTTTGGTAAAGCTACCAAAATGACAGATATGAGGGGACATCACCCTATGCCATTAGTGTATGAATTTGGTCTACTTCCTAGTACACAGTTGAGAATAACCGCCTGGCAGCATATACTTCCGCCACCAGGCCGGGATCCTCAGAAAGAACACCTGCATTCAGAGAAGCTGGGCTAACAGAGTTCCTTTCTGGTTTAATACTGTGTCATGGCTGCACTTTAAGAATTCCAATACTTGCCATTTAAGAAAAAAATAAATACAGAAGGTAAAAAAACTCAAAGTATTATGCAAAATATTTAAGATACCACAGGGGAAAAAAATGAAACACCAGAAAAGAAACTTGCTTTTAAAAATAAGGACTAAATAGATATTTACCTTCAAATGTTTTTGTTTTTTAAAAATTTATTATTA